AATTTATTATTATAAAACAAAAGGTTAAATGCTCATTTTGGTCCCTTAACTTTATCAGTTTGCACATTTTTGGTCCCTAAAGTATTTTGTGCACACTTTTTATCCTTTAATTCTAAGAAATGTATAACGTTTGTCCTTTTGTCAATTTGGGCCGTTAACTCCGTCACGTGGCATTTTTTATATATTTTTTTGATAATATGATGAAAACAACTTAAAAAGGTGATGATCTGGATTTTTTTTTTAGGCATAATATCCAAATCCACCCTCAAAGTATAATGGTAGGGACGGATCTACCATCGAACAAAAAACGGGGACAAATCCACCTACAAAGTTTTTTATTTGAACAAATCACCTCAAATTTAACGTGTAACGTCATCTGACATTAGCAACCTTATAGTGATTTGTTCAAATCGAAAACTTTGTGAGTAGATTTGTCCTCGTTTTTTGTTCGAGGATGGATTCGTCCCTGCCACTATACATTGGGGGTGGATTTGGGTATTTGCCTTTTTTTTTTATGACATGTCCCACATATACCAAATTAGATTAATATTTATATTTTTAATAAAAAATAAAAAAAACTACAAATTTACCTTAATACCCTTATCTCCCTTTCTTGATCCATCTTCTTCCCCTCTTTCGATCCATCTTCTTCCTTTCTTTCTTCTTTTTCTTTCTTCCTCTTCCTCCTCTGTGCTGCTGGGTTCCCTCAAGCCCAGCTGATCTAGGTTCAAGGGAACCTAGCTCGGGTTTGACGGAACCTAGCAGATGGGTTCCATCGAACCCAGATTTGCTGGGTTCAAGGAACCTAGTGCTAGGTTTAGTTGAACCCAGAACCCAGATTTGCTGGGTTTGAGGAACCCAGCAACTAGGTTCGAGGAACCCAGCAACTAGGTTCCACCGAACCCAGCTCCACTTTTTTTTTTTTGTTTGTTATATATTTGTTGCGAGAGTTTATGTGAATTGTAGGTTGCGAGGGATTTTTGGGATCCTTTTGGTTCATATTTCTTAACTATTGTTTAAATGATTTTAATGTTCAAAATGGAAAGAATATCATCGGCGATGGAAAGAACATAAGTAGTGACCGATGGGCAAAGAAGAAATTTTTAGTGAGTTTCCATTTGATTGGCTAGAAAATTGTACAGTTTGGGTGTTTGGCTGCTAAGAAAATGATTTCAATTTGTTTTGTTAAGAAATTATAGTTTAATGATGAATGATTAATGAAATATGTGAAAAATCTTTAGAATCCTAGCAAATGTAGGGTTTTGAGTGAACTTTAAAGGAGAACGAACAAGGTCAATGGTTTTTGCAAGTAACGTGGGACTCAATGGAAGGGTTTTGGTGCGAGAAGATAACATGTCATAAAAAAAAAGTCATTGTCTTTTCCATGTCATAAAAAAAAAAAATGCCACATGGCGGAGTTAATGGCTCAAATTGATGGAAGGACAAACATGATATATTTCTTAGAATTGAGAGATAAAAAATATGCATAAAATACTCTAAGGACCAAAAATGTACAAACCAATAAAATTGAGGAGCCAAAATGAGCATTTAACCAAACCAGAAAGGGTACTTCCACCATAAGAAAGCAGTACTTTGCAGGCGTGCAAATGAAGGAATTTCACTATTTCAGGCACCTTTGAGCAGTTGCAATGATGCTTAAGGCGCTTTAAGAAGCACCAACCATGGGCCCACAAATATAGTATTGAGAAATACATTGTTCGAGCGAACTTTTTTGTGCTCCTAGATAGCCCACTTTGCAAGCACTCATCTTGAGCGCCTATAAGCATCTACTTTATTGGCGCTTAAAATTTTGCCCGTCTGAATTCAATTCTAATCTACATTTGTTACTGGTTTCTCCTATTTTTCATATTAGTTCTCCCCAGATTTTTTCATATCATACCAGATTTCAATTCATTTAAAACCTATTTAATATCAAAACACTCAAAATTAACTAAATATGTATTCATTCATATTTCTAATTAATCAAATATCCACACAAGTACAATATTTTCACCAAATATTTTCGACCAAACTGTCATCACCAAATTATATATGGTGATAGTATGTTAAAAAAACCCAAAACCAAGCATCAAAGTATAAATTGAGTCCTAGTAAAATATTAAAGTTGTGTTTGGAAACTTGAATTTGAATTTGATATGTGTAATTAAAATATATGTATTTAAAATGTATGTAATTTAAATATATATATTTTAAAATATATTGTTTGGATTGAATAAAAAATTAAATTTTAAATACATTATTTTGATGTATTAAAAAACTATGTATTTAAAATTGAATTTTTCTTATTAAATTAAATTTTTTGTAATCATTATTTAAATTTAATAAAATCAAAGTTAACAATTTTAATTTTTTAAGGCATTATTTAAATTATTTCAAGACAATCTAATT